GGGGGGGGGGGCTCTCTGGGGTCCTGGGCGTGTTCCTGCCCTTCTGCAGCCCAGCTATGAAGGGAGGGGGGAGCTCGGGGGGATTTTGGGGAGGGGGGTTTTGGGGACATGCTCTTCAGCATGGCCAGGAGTAGGGGGGAAGGATTTTGGGGAGGGGGAATTTTCAGTGGGGGGATGGGCACTCTGTGGTCCTGGCCATGTTCCTGATGTGAGTCCAGGGATTTTGGAAGGGAGAATTTTGGGCAGGGGGATTTTGGGGAGGGGAGGGTTCTGCGTCCTGCAGCTCTGCAGCAGAACCGTGACTGGGGAAGGATTTTGGGGAGTGGGAATTTTTTTTGGGGAGGGGCACTCTGGGTCCTGGGCATGTTCCTGCTGTGAGCCTGGGGATTTTGGGAGGGGGGTGGATTTTGGGGCGGGGGGTTCTGGGGTCCTGCCGCTCTGCAGCCTGGCTGTGAGTCTGGAGGGGGATTTTGGGGGGGGTGTCTCTGGGGTCCATCCCAGCCCCCCCCGGGCCGTGCAGACCCCCCTCCTGTGCCGCAGGGTGTCCTGGGGGGCCTGGCCGCCGGCTTTGCCCTGTCCCTCTGGGTGGCCATGGGGGCCACCCTGTACCCCCCCAGCGCGGCCACCATGGGGGTCCTGCCCAGCTTCGGGACCCTCTGCCCCCCCCACAACGGCACCGGCGCCAACGGCACCACCCTGCCCGCGCCCCTCGGCCCCCCCGGGGACCCCCCGGAGCCCACACGGTGAGAGGGGGTGGCCGGGGGGTGTCTGGGGAGGCGGGTGGCTTGTTGTGATGTCACAGCGCTTTCCCTGTCCCGTGTGACGTCACACTGCTGCCCTTGTTCTTCTGACGTCACACGGCTTCCCTTGGGATGTCACGATGCTTTCCCTCATTCCTTATGACATCACTGGGCTTTCTTCATCCCTTTTGGTGTCCCACTGCTGTCCCTGTTCCTTATGATGTCACGCCGCTTTCCTTATGACGTCACATTGCTTCCCCTGTGACATCACAGCACCTTCCCCGTCCCTTATGATGTCACACTGCTTCCTTTGTCCCTTATGATGTCACACTGCTTTCTTTGTTCCTTTTGATGTCACGCCCCTTCCCCTGTCCGTTGTGACGTCACACCACTGTCCCCGTTGGCTGTGACATCACACCTCTGTCCCTGTTGGTTGTGAGGTCACACCGCTGTCCCCATGTCCCCCCACAGACCGACCATCCTGGGTGACTTCTACTCCATGTCCTACCTGTACTACGGGGCGCTGGGGACCCTCAGCACGGTGGGGGTGGGGGTCCTGCTCAGCTCCCTGCCAGGTGAGCTGGGGAGGGGCCATGACCCTGTGCAGGGGGGTCCCGTCCCTGCACCCCCTCCCTGACCCCCCATTCCCGGTAGGGCCCACCCGGCAGAGGCGGCAGCCCCCGGGGGTGCTGTGGTGGGACATCGTGAGGAACTCGCCCTCGGGGTTCCCCCCGGGGGGCAGGAGCCCCGGGGACGAGCCCCTGGACAAGGCTGGAGCTTCCCGGGTGCTGCCGGAGAGGTTGGAGGGAGAGGGGAGCCCCTCCTGGGACCCCCCCGAACCCGGAGCCGCCACGGAGCTGCTGGTGCAGGAGACCCACGTGTAGGGGGACGGGGGGAAATGGTGACCTGGCTCTGGGGGGACAGCAGGACAGGGGACACAGCCCTGTCCTGGGGTCCCCAATAAAGGAGGAGCTGATCCTGGGAGGAGCCTGTCCTTGGGGGGCTGCAGGGACAGGGGGGGACACGGCTGAGCCCCTCGGGGGGTGCAACTGGAATTGGAGGGGGGTGTGTGTCAAACTGGGGGGACACGGGGACGGGTGCTGGGGGAGGAGGGAGGAAACAGCTGCCTGGTCAGTCCCATCCACCCAGGTGACAATGGCCACGCCCTGTTAAGCCCCGCCCACTCAGGGGACAATAGGCCACACCCTATTAACAATGGGTTACACCCAGGTAACAATGGGTTCTGCCCTGATGAAGCCACCAGGTAACAAAGGGGTCAGACCTGCCAAGCCACACCCACTCAGGTGTCAAGCGGACCACACCCTGTTAAGCCCCGCCCACCCATGTGACACAGGGACCACGCCCTTCCAAGCCCCGCCCACACCCGTCTCAGGACCGCCCCTCGGGGCGACGCCATCTTTGTGCCGGGCAGAGGAAGATGTTGGCCCTCGGCCTTCCCGCCGCTCCGCCAGCGCTGCCGCGGGCGGGACCCACCGCCCACCCGTCTCTCCGCTCCCTCCCCTTCGTTCGCTTCCTCCTCCGCCTCTCCCGGCGCCGCGGCGCGGGCGGAGCAAGGCCGCGCCCGGTTGTTGCCCTTAACAAACATGGCGGCGGCGCCCTCCCCTCTCCCGCCCCTCCCGCGGGGGGCGCCGGCGCCCGGGGATGACGCGCGAGGCGCGCGACGGGCGGGGCGGCGGGGCCCGGGTAGGAGCGGGGCCCGGTTCGGGGCCGGGCGGAGGGGCCGGGGATGGGCGGGGGCGGCGGGGACCCGACGGGACGGGAACGGGGCGGAGGGGAGGGGCGGGGGGGACGGGGCGGGGAGGCCTGGGGGTGTGGCGGCGGGGGGTGAGGGGACAGGCCCGGGTGTCCCCCCATCCCCATCCTGGGCTGGAGCCCGGCCCGCATCCCGCTCCTCGGGAAGGGTCAGAGGGCAGGAGAAGGGGTTTAGGGAAGGGCCAGACGATGGGAGGAGGGATTCGATCCAGGCCGGGAAAACCTCGGGGGTGGAGCGACCAGCCCTTCAGAGCAGCCCTTCTGTGCCCGGCTTTGTTTGACAAATTAAACATCTGCCATTAAAACCCCCCCCAGATTTGGGATCCAGAGCGGCTCCACAGCCCTGTCTGCGCGGGCAGCGTCCACAAGCAGAGCCTTTGCTGGCCGAGTGCCACAGCCTGCCCTGGTGTCACACCAAACCCATGGAACGCTCCAGGCGGGGGGACGGAGGGGCTGGAAAGCTGGGAAGGGCCCTGGGGGTGCTGTGGCAGCGGCTGGGCATGAGCCCAGCTGGGGAAGGAGGCCAAGGGCACCTGGATTGGGTCAAAACCGCTGTGGCACAGGAGCAGGGCAGGGACTGTCCCCTCTGCTGGAGGGGATCCTCAGATCAGGGGGTCGGTTTTGGGACCCTCAAGAAAAGAAGGGCATTGAGGCGCTGGAGCGTGTCCAGAGAAGGGAATGGGGCTGGAGCACGAGGAGAAGGGACTGGAGAACTCCTGAGGGAGCTGGGGGTGCTCAGCCTGGAGAAAAGGAGGCTCAGGGGGGGACCTTCTGGCTCTGCAACCCCCTGACAGGAGGGGGGAGCCGGGGGAGGATTGAGCTCTGCTCCCAAAGAACAAGGGACAGGAGGAGAGGAAATGAGCAGGAGATGTTCAGGTCGCACACAAGGAGGAATTTCCTCATGGAAAGGGTGGTCAGGCCTTGAAAGGGGCTGCCCAGGGAGGTTTGGAGTCCCTGTCCCTGGAGGTGTCCAGGGAAGGACTGGAGGTGGCCCTCAGTGCTCTGGGCTGGGGGACAAGGCGGGGATGGGGCACAAGGGGGGCTCCGTGACCTTGGAGGGCTTTCCCAACCTCAGCCATCCCATAAAAGGGGTTTTCCCAGCAAATCCCGAACCCAGGGGGCAAGGACTTGACCCTGCTTTCCTCCCCAAAGAGCACCTTGAGTGATGCCCAAGAAGTTCCAGGGGGAAAACACCAAGTCGGCTGCTGCCCGAGCGAGGAAAGCCGAGGCCAAGGCAGCGGCCGATGCCAAGAGGCAGCAGGAGCTGGAAGATGCTTACTGGAAGGATGAGGACAAACACGTGATGAGGAAGGAGCAGAGGAAGGTCAGTGCCTGCCCACAGAGGCGTCTCCTAAACCCTGGGAGACCCAGGGATACCCCACACCTCGTCCCATGCTCCGTTCCGGGGGGGAGAAGCTGGAATTTCGTGGCTGCTCCGGGAGCTAAAAGCAGCCCGGTGTGGGAGTGAAGTGTGAGCTCTGCTGTGCAATTCCCAAACCTGGCGGATCTCAGAGTTCCCGAGGGAGGCAGCACAGGCCTTCTGGTGGGAATGGTTTAAAACTGAACCGAGGGAAAGATCAGGGATTTGGACTGTGCCCAAAACGCTCCTTTAGCTCCTTTTCATTTTTTCTTTTCCTTTCCTTGCCTTTGGTTTTCAGAGGAGGAAAATGGAATCAGCAGATTAAGGGTCTCAAAGGTCCTTTTTTTTTTTCCCCCCTCCTGGTTTTGCCGTTCCCTGCATCAGGAATGTCTCTCTCCTGAGGTTCCCTCTGGTTTGCCCTTCCCTGGGTCCCCGTTTCCAGCGGTGTTTTTTGGGTTATTTCTTTGTTTTTTAATGTCCTGCTCTTGTTACCCAAATCCACCTCCTGGTTTGTGGGATTTTTTTTTTTAGGAACTCTTAGTGATGGTTTAGCTGCTTCCTCTGAAATTATCCCTGTTGCCTCGTGCTCTCTCGGTGCCAAAAATGGGATTTTGGGCGTTCCTGGGCTTGTGCTGCTCCAGGAATTGGGAGCTGTGGCAGGAGGCACCACGTCCCAGTGACCTTGGGCCCTTCCCACTGTGTCCCCTGCGTGAGTTCATCCCTAATTTGTGTCCTGGAATCCGGAGTCCTGTGGGCTGTTCCCGGTGCGATCCCGTAATGCTCCCTAATTGCTTCCTGGAACAAGGAGTTGTTATTGCTGGATTTAAGGGCTTGGCCAAAGGTGACCTGCTTGTGCTTCCAAAACAGCCTCCTGCAGGCAGGGAGGACGGGAATTTGGAGAGTGGGGGGATGTGGAGCTGGGATTGCTGACTGGGAAACTGGTGTCTGTCCCAGAGCCTCGGACTGGGTTTTAGGGAAACCAGTGGGGTGGTTTCCAGTGTCCCCTGAGCCGTCTCCTCTCCCTGTGTCAGCACAACCACAACGTCCAGGTTGGAATTTCCCCCAAATCCTGTGTTTCAGTGCTTTTTCTTCCCAGAAACCCCTTTTCCCTGGGAATGTGCAGCCCACAGCAGCAAAGGTCTCTGCTCAGGTGTGGAGCTGAGCCCGGAAAACCCAACTATTCCTGCCCAGGTGCTCTTCCCGCTGCCAGAGCCAGAAATTAGTGGGCTGCTGGAGGGAAATAAATCAGAGAAACCCTCCTTGGCTGCTTCTCCAGCCTCGTACAGCTGGAATATCCCTGTGGAGGACAGGAGGAGCTGCCCGTGTCCTGTCACATCCCGGCAGGGAAGGGATGTGTGGCTCGGATTATAAACGACTTTGTCCTCTCTAGGATGAGGCTGGAGAAGCCAAACCATTCCCAGGGGTCAAAATTCCCGGAGAAGGAGGTATCTGGGGGGTGGTGCTGGCATGGAATGCCCGTGTGCTCCGGGAGGGACTCGTGGCACTCGGATCCAGGGGACGGAGCTGTCGGGAGAGCCCCGAGGACGCCAGGCTGGGGCTCACACCCCAAACCCACTGCCCAGGCTCCGGCTTTCCCTCCATCCTTGCTCTGCCTGCCTGGGGGTGATGGAAGGGCCCTGGCTGATCCCGTTTCCAGGCTCTGCTGAGCCCTGGGGGTCCCGCTGGGCACTCGGACACGCTCCAGGGCGGTTCTGCTCCACTCTCTTGCCACCTGCGTCATTTCCCCTGCATTTCTTCGCCTTCCTGCCCTGCCAGGAGCTCTCCAGCCTTTCCAGGGCCTCTCCTGAGAGCAGGGATCAGGAGCTGTGGCTCCCTGTGCCTGGGATCTGGATCTCCTCTCCCCAGCAGCTGGGAAGCTCTTCTGGAGCTGATGAGCCGTTCCTTGCTCAGGCACTTCTCTGCAAGGCTGGAGACTTCTGTTTTAACACCCAAATCCTTGGGAATGGACGTGTCCTGCCGAAGGAATCTCATCCCCTGCTCCTCCCAGTGCCCTGTGGTCTCCTTTAAACTCCCTGGTGCTGGTGGCCAACCAGGAGATTCCACCTGGATCCATCGTTATCCTGCGCCGTGGCCACAGACACATCCCTGTGTACCCCTTCCCTCTCCCCTTCCCTCCTCTCCCCCTTCCCTCTTCTGTTTGTTTGGGGTTTTTTTTCCCCTGACCTTCCAGGCTTTGGGAGAGGAGGGAGACAACTCTCAGCCAGAGCACTGAAAGCCCTTAAGGGCTTGTTCCACGGGCTTGTCACCCTCTTCCCTGGGCAAAGTGGCTCTCGAGCTCCTTCTGGAGCACTTCAGATTCCCACAAGAGCTGCTCTGCCCGTCGGAATCCGCCCGGCCGCGTGTCCCGGCCCTCGGGAAGGGCGTGGGGACGGACCCAGGCTCCTCACCAGCAACTGCTGAACTCCCAACCTCCCAGCACTTATTAAAATTAAAGTGGAAAGCTTAATCTGATTGTCCTGGCACTCCTCCTCCGCAGCAGGGTTGTGTTTCACAGGGCTGACATCACCGGGCAGGGATGTGGGAATCGTGATTCCAAAGGGATGGGGACGGGCTGTCGCTGTCCCGCTGAAGGTCGGGGTGATCCAGCTACAGCACTGAGGTGCCTGTTCCTGTCCCAGCGGGATTCCCAGCTCCTGGAAGGGCTGGTTTGATCCCTGTGTAGGGTCTGGAGGTGACCTGGTCCTTCCTTTCCTGGCAGGAGGAGCGGGAGAAGCGGCGGCTGGAGCAGCT